AACGACAAAATCACAGCTTCTTGACGAACAAGTATGCTTTCCAAGCAATATATCAATTGTAACAAAAAACATAAATGACTGTTAGGCTAACAAGTTTTCAGAAACCTACAATTTCAATCCGTTTTAATCTTCAAGTTTGTCCATCAGTGCCTACTTTTATTTTTGCTGTTATTAATACCTTTTAATGTTTCGAGCAATTATTTTGTGTTTCATTCAATTTGGTAGCAGTTGCTACAGAGAGAATTTTAATCAAATTCTTGAAACAGCTCCTTTCAGCTTACATCCACAAGGAAAAAACCACTCAGTACGTCGATCTCTATTGAAAGACTTCGCATCCACTTATTCAGATACCTCGAGGTACGGGCGTTTGGGTAGTGGGGTTTTGTTCAGCTACTCCATTACTATCTCCTCTGCCCCTAGCCCCCACCCCAGAAAAAAAATGAGAGTTTCACCACAATCCTTTTCACATAATGAAAGCCAAAATAAATTACCATAAATCTGTTTTGAATGGAATAAACCGAAAGGCCACTACCTCAATACAACAAAAAGGACAAGCCACAAATAGCCCATTTGCGATAAAAACCAATGTTCATTCAACTTGAAAACATTCGTCGTGTTTTCTAGCTCAAATAAGAACTAAATGCTCCGTTTCGACCCCCAGACTGAGTGTATAAAGAGTAACGATGTACGAATTACCTGGTCAATTCACAGCACTTACAAGTCGGGAACAAGCGCCACATAAGCAATTTAAGTTTTCTTTACGTCCAAAAAGAAATAGTATACTAGTCGATTAGTGATTGAGAAAGTACTCAAAGAATTTTAAATTTTTTCCATCGAATCAGAGAAACACACAAGCAGGAAAGTTTTTTACGTCAAAGGCATACGTCACTACGTTGCTTAGTAACCTTCTCACCGAAAACTAAAGGGCGAAAATGTGTGCTGTTAGTGAAATGAAAAGCTAGTTGGAACAATAATTACAAACAAATAAACAAACCTCGTTCCAAGACGGTGTGTTATGGGACTGACAAAGGCAACCCTTAAATTTAAGTAACTATACGACATTGAATACAATTTTCAACACGTATCCAAAACTCGGCTTGGTCCTTAGTATTGATGACTGACAGACGCCAGTCAAAACTAAGATCAGTGTGGCAAGGTGGATTATTTATACAACGCTAGTCGAACTGGTACTCAATAGAGACCTTAAGGATTCTAAGACGAGGACGACTACGAAGATGAGATTTGACATTCAGTTGTTCGTGTATTCTCAAAAAAATAGATACCCCGGAAAGCGTCATTGTTCACTTTTTTTTTTACCCGAAAAGTTGACACGGTGATTTTTATTGAAGGAGGTTAAGCCCTCTCCCGATCGCAAAATAATAAAACTCATAACATTTTATTCACTTGTTTCCGCCACTACGACATCATGTTTTCGTCTTCGTAGTAGAATGACGTCGGTTATCGCGTTTTCCCGCCAAAATGACGCTGGTTCACGCGCGCACAACTTAGTCTTGAGAAAATCTCGTACTCATAGTCGACTTTGTCTTAGAATCTAACGGTCTCTATTGTACTTGAATTTCAATCTGAATATACTTATAATGATCAGAAAAGAGGGCTGAATGTTACTCAACACTGTAGAAAGCCGTTGACCTTGGCACACGCTAACCATGGCTTTTAGTCCTGTAGTACCAGAGGGCTCCAGTACGTAGCTGATTAGTCGGAACAAGAACCTCTTCAGCATCAACACGTATGAAACAACGGTGCCAAATGATATTAGGGAGCTTAAGCAACAACGACGGCGACCGCTACAAAAACGTCACTTAAAAACTGAATTCGCACCGCTTCAAACTTTATCGCGCTTATTCCATCTCGTTTACTTCGTCAAATGTTGGCAAATGTTTTTGGAGTTGAATTCTAAACAACTCTATCAAAGTTCAGGAAAAGAAAAGAAAGTTGTTGTCTTGTGTACCCGTCCTCGACAAAACGTGAATTCAGGCACTTTCACGTTGTAGTCGGGCAACGACGGCAAAGAAATGTACAAAAAAAGCGTGATACACGTGCAAAGTTGTTGTTTTGCTAATCAAACCTGTTGCTTTTTTGCTATTCTCGTTGCCGTCCACGTCGTCGTTGCTTAAGCTCCCTAATAAAGAGTTTTGGCAACGACGACAGCGACGGCAGCTTTTCGTCCCTCGTCAAGATTATTCCAACCCACTCAATATGCCACATGCAGGTATTAAATTACCAGGAATTGAATTCTTTTAGGAAGCACAAACGTTTAGAAAGAGAAAGAGAAATGCGTTGTCACCTGTTTAGGTCCTAACCTCGTATCAACAAGTTGTTGTTTCATGACAATGTGACGGCAAAGAAATGAATCAAAGGTGCACGTGCCGAGTTGCTTGCTTATTTTTATTCTCTATTTTTTTTTTCCGAAGTTCTTGTCCTCGTTGTTGTCGTCGTTACTGAAGCTCCTAAATGATGCACCAATACTGGACACCAGTACATTCGAAGTTATTTTTTCACATATCAGTATCGCCACGCAACAGTTGACAAAAATGTCGAGTTAAACAATCAGCCCCCACCCTGCTCCACAAGCCTGCGCTAGCTGGTGCCCACCAATGACCTATAATCGCGCGGGCTTATGGATACAGTTAGACCAGTTGAATTGCATAATGTTCTAGTAAAATTGACACTTCGATATGGTCTGGATATAAGGTCCACGGCAATAAATATAATACTTTATAATTTTCTAAAGATTTCTTTTAGTCGGGAAAAACGCTATGTACAATTTTTTTTCTTTTTATATAAGTAGAAGGTAATCTATCTCTCTTGAAATTAAATAATTACGTAAGGCTCCAGCTCCGCAAATTTGCACTGGCAAAGGTGGAGAAAATTTGTTTTTTCTCACCTTCCACTAAATCTAAAGAATCACAGGTGACATGTTGTTCAAGTCAAGTTCTAGCTGAGCCACTGGGTATACAAAGCAAATAAATAAAAAGAACCAGAACGCTTGAAGGAACCAATGCGGTACCGCGAGAATGAAACAAGGTGCACTCACCAAGATTAGTTTTCAGAGCCCTAGGGCATCGGTGCCGCCCCTCGATTCAACATGCAGTGATCCTTTTGGATAAGTGACCAGTGGCAAGCAAGAAAATGATATTCAATTTTTAGAGAATATTACAGACATTTTGAATAATTCAATAGAGTTTTGTAAGAACCATTTTTAAACCGAACTGGTGCCTTGAAGGCACTACGCAGAAAGTTTCAAAAGGAGAGGGAAAAGGAATTAGGTAAGTAGACATTTTGTTTAAAATGCCACCAATTGATTGCTTAGATAAATTGTAAAACCTCAATAATCGATAAAAATAAACTTAAACCGCTCTTTCCGGGAGACTTCAGTCCTGTTGTGATGACCGGAAAGTCACCCGAACTAAGGCGATCATAAAGACGATTCAAAGACGATTCCAAGACGATAAGAGAGGAGCTGCCTCACAAAGAATACATTCAATTTTAAGTGGCTTTAAAACATACTGTACTGCATGAGAATGCTACAATTCTGCGTCAAATGCAGGCAAGTGATGGTCGACCGTATAAAACAAGTGTACAATATAATACATCAATAGGAGTGGAACAGTGAGGATGAAATCTGAGAGAGATGAGAACAACATGAGTAACTACTCTGACAACATACTATGACGAAGTGAGAGATGTACTGGACGATGAAGGAGGCTCTGAAGAAGTACCAGACGTGGAAGTCGGGTTTCGAGTCGAGACACCGGAAGTTGGATTACCGGAAGTCGTGTTACCAGAGGTGCCACCACCGGGAGTTCGTGACGCAACGTCCTGAGAATCAAAAAAAGGGGCAAGTGTTAGAAAACAACAACATCACCCCCAGGGTTTTCTCCCACTGGATAGAATCTTCGGAACGAATAAATGAGAGGCTTGAGTAGGCATCTGTCTGCATTTCATTACACGTGAATCCCGCTGAGCTGACACCATTATTAGAGTTTTTCTTCAGATGCACTAATTATTCATTCATTTATTCATATATTTACAAAACTTTCACCGAATAACAAATCAACAACAACAATAAAAAAAAACAGTGAAAGAGCAAGGCTCCAATTATTGAACTTATTAACTTGAAGTTAGTGATATCTTAAAACTGGGAAGGCTTTACAATTCAGCTTCAGTTGCATGTTCAGTGGCAACTTCGCTTAAAACTTGACTTAACCCTGGGTTAATCTTAACCATATTTGGAGGAAGCGTTCAAGCTCTTTCAAGCTTCTTAAGTGTAATATTTGAGGAGGTAATATCTTTCAGAAAATGAAAAATTTCTGTACGGCAAAAAAATATATTTAAACTAAGGATCTCTGGTATTTATTGGAATAACCCCTTGCACTCCGCATTGACACAAGCATCTAGTTTGCGAGTTCATCGATTAACAATACGACAAGAAGCAGTCTGAACAGCCTAACATAGCAAGAACTTACCCATTCTTCTGCGGCTTTTTTCCAGTATTCGTGGTTATCTGTGAGATGCCTGATTGTCTCTGGTACAAATGCGAAAGCTGGAAAGGGGACATACAAGGATCAGAAAAAAAGCAAACAAAAATGAAATGTAAGAGAGAAAGAGAATTGACGAAAACAACACCAAATCCTTACCGTCCCAAGCGTCATAAAGATCACTGACAAAGTAATCTATAAACCACACCTGGAAATAAGGAAAAAGCATATCAGTTTCACGTAAGCTGTTGATCAGAGAGCGATGCCCGAGTGCAAGGTCTCGACCTTTAACTACTTTTTCTACTTATTTTAATCGAGCACTTGCTTGAACCTACTAACAACTTGTACTTAAATATTGATAATGGCCAAATGTGTGCTCTTAGTGTACTCTTCCTATTGTAGATCTTAACAAAGCCTTTGACACGCATGACCACAGCATATTTTTTAAAAAACTGCAACTTTCTGGTCTTGACCCGCACGCAGTTCAGTGGTTCAAATCACACCTATCAGATCGCTTTTAGAGAACGTCTGTCAATGGAACTCTGTCAGACTACCTTCCTATTAGCTGTGGGGTCCCACAAGGTTCTACACTTGGACCCTTGTAGTTTCTCATTTATGCACCTATCAATGTAATGCCGGCGGGGGGGGGGAGGCAGGGCATGGGGTGGGGATTTGACTTTTTTCAAAAATTTGCAATCAAATTCCCTGCCCACAGGCAAATCATTCCAGTCAAATGCAACCAAATTTCCCCACCCCAGAATGCACACTGCTGTCAATCCCAAGGCAGAACCTAAGAAAGGCACAACAAAAATATCTGCAAATAAAACTCTGCAATCTTTTATAAACGTTGCTGCATCACCAAAGATACATGTTCCTGTTACAGCTGCAATTATACGTTCTAACCATAATCCGTGTTACACTGCGTAGAATACATAAACCTTTCAGAGGAAGTCCACATTTTGTAAGTCTAAATATACCGTTCTTAGTAAAGGGTAAAAGAAAGTCAGTTTTATAAGTTTACAGTGATGGTAGCGAATGAGCCATACACTAATCAATTGTACTTGCAAAAATCGACTTGGTTTCTCTTCACTTCCGTTTACTTTGATACCACAGTATTTTAAGAGGTTCAATTGATCAAAAACACACTAAAACAAACGAAATTTGAAGACAAAACAGTGAAATCCACTCAGCCTTCGCTTGTTTTCATTGGCCTTCATGACTTCCTGATCTTTTCAAACCGTATGGCGCATGCGTGAAGCGTGGAAGGGGGAAACATACGTTCGGTCTCAGTCTTTTTCGTCCGAGTCGGCAGTCAAATATCTCCACGTCGGGCGAAGAAAGATTCAAATATCCCTTTCCCCGGGAGAACAAGATCAGTCAAATGCCCTACCCCAGGGACAACAAAGACAATCAAATCCCCACCCCATGCCCTGCCTCCCCCCCCCCGCCGGCATTACATTGATAGATGCATTATATAAATGACCTACAAGAATGCGAGCTATCATCTTCAATCCTTATATATGCTGATGATACCTAGCGTAGTCTTTCCTCTTATGACCTTACAACTCTTGAAGAAAAGTTAAATTAAGACTTGGATGAGGTTCAAAAGTGGCTGTAATCCAATAAACTCCTTATTTTGAGTATTGCTCCGAGCTCCGAGGTTTGGGGATGCATGGGAAAAGGCCTGTATGACAGACTCCAGAGAATGCAAAACAGGGCCGGGAGAATTATAACATTTAGTGATTATAATACAAGATCTGCGGATTTTAATGCTTATATCTAGCTACGATTGCCCCGCAACTTTTTTCAGCGACAGCAGCGATCATTTGTTTATAGAGGATACGACTGATCTTCTATAATGATAAATAAAGTACACATTATAAAACACGTATCCGTACACACCTGCGACCTCGGTACATTACACGTCAGTTTATCAAAGACAGGCATCACAACAGGTAAACCACGCCGCTTTTCCTCCTCCGTCTAAGAAAAAGATGAAGGATAAAACCTTGCTAACCAACATATTTAAATAGGCCCTTTGCAGCTAGTCATTCACGTGGTACAAATCCGCCGTGCTGGAGAGCAAAAGTCGCACTGAGACAAGGCAAACAAAGAAAATTACCATTTCAAATTACGTATGTCTTTTGTTTGTCTTGTCCCAGTACGACTTTTGCTCTCCAGCGTCGCGGTTTTGTACCACGTGAATGGCTAGCTGCAAAGGGCCTTTTTCTTCCCAGGAACATTGAAGTTATGGTCCATTTGTCTTTAAAATTACTCTGCTAAAATACCTCGACTGTATTTATGTTGTGATTGTCTCTGGCTTTCGATGGCCAGGATGAAAATGGATTCAGTGCAACTTGATAAAAAATTGGACCAACTTTTTCAGGTTAATTCTTATTCTCAATCTGTCGTAAAATGACCGAAAACCTATCGCTGTTGTTTTCTCTTGGACAAAACTATAATATCTTTATTTAGAGTTCCAAGATTAACAAAAGATGGCAGAGACCACTTACTTATAATTTCAGCTAAGATTTGACCAAAAAATGTGCAACACAAAAATAACATACCCTCCACAAGTTTCCCTTTTATATAACACGTCCGACAACAGACAAAATTTTGACACTAGTGCAAATTACTATCGGCACACCTGTGAAAAGTACTCGTCAGCTATTCTGTATGCCCATTCCTTACAGAGGTAACGAGGCCGGGCTGGATTGGCGATATCAGCACATTTGATGAGCATCCTTTTGATCAATGTTCGGTTTTCTGGTGTATTAAGAGCTACAGCTGAAGATGCGGTGGAGTCGGGCGTACCCCGTCCACTGTGCTGTGAAAATAACAAGACATCAAGAATGTTCACCGCTTGATAGTAAAACAAAGTTGGGCGCCCTGTAAGCCTAGCTGTAAGCGGATTATCAGCTCATCGCTGGATTCAAAAAGCGCGAATGTGTGTAACACGAGACTCGAACCGCTTTACATTCGAAGTTCGTGCCTGATTTAATCACCTTTTAACAAAGAACCGAAGGAATATTTCAAAATGGTAACTGGCCAAAAACACAAAGTAAGAGGGGATTTTCGCCAGTCCTGGCGTAAACGGAACCAACCGTAACGACAGAACTACTTCAAAATGAAGCAATCAAATTTCAGTAAAAATTTCTTGGAAAAAAAGATTTAAATTTTGTAAAATGGTGAAAAAAAGTAGTACTACCATAATGACGTGAAAGTACTGCTGGAGAGGTGTCATTTGAACGGTCACACCAGAGGATTTCATCCACAAACACAAGAGTTAGCAGCTCGTTACCGAAGAAAGCATAGTTCACTTAGAGTTAGAGTTCACAGTGACAACTTAGTAACTTTATTGCTTTGGTGCAGATGATAAAGAAGAAAGCTGAGTCTTACCACCGAGTGTACCTCGTCCATGCTAGAAGTACGCCGTTTATTGATCGAGTTAACAAACTTTGAGAGATGTTCGAAATGCCTCGTCATCTCAGTTGCCATTACCATGTCGATTATAGCTTGACGGATTGTGCGAAATGCATCCCTATCAAAGCAAAGAAAAAAACTGTTGATGAAAAGACCGTGGCAGTATATTCTGTAACACGCTGAACGATATGATCACTGCTGTACCAACATTAGCACATCATGTGAAGAGTGCCAGCGCCTGCCTTGCGACCGATATAGTGCAATCGTTGGTACACCACCTAAATAACCCCACCAAACTCTCGCCTTTCCGCTGTTGCCACATCTTGTACGAAGCACCGCTGTTTTCCCTACCTTAAGGATACATTGCCAATGTTAGTACATCACGCAAGGCAGCCCACGTTACCATCAGAATTTTGCCAATTTTCATTGGCACATCATATAGGAATAGGAAACGCCACAGACCCCCAAGGAATCCTATAACAGTACCCGCCTTACTGCCAATATAACGCCATTATTGGTAAGTTATGTGACGAGACCCACTAGAGTGTTTTCAAATGACGTCACGGCGGCAATATTGGTGTCCCAAACCGCTGAAATAGTGAACGTGTTGGTGTTTTAAACCAGTCCTGTGGGAGTTGAACGTTTTTGTTCCAAAATCCAATAAATCCGCATAGTTTCTGGCCACGAGAATGCAAACGCGCTATGGGGTCCAAAATGGACGTTAAATAACCAGCAGTAACAAAATTATCATACACAAAAGACGCTTACATGTCAAGTCCTTTGAATATATTGGACCTCTCATCTCGAGCAGTTAGCTTGAATGCTAAAGCAGCATGGTGACTCTCTAACACGGCGATATCATTGTATAGGATAGCCAGCTCATTACCAGCATTACAAAGAAACGAGTTAGTGTAACCAGGATGGTCAACATCGTGTACTACAGCTGCTATTAATGACGCTATTTCATCAAGTGGCTCTAGGACGGCCTGCAAGCAAAACCAAAACCAACAGATGTGGTTACACTGAGTCTTTTCCCCTTTGGATCAGGAATATATTTCGCGAATAAAAAAACCGGCACGTGTGAACGCTTCCCAGGCTCCTACTGATGAAAGACATTGAAACTACAGCAGGTTTTTTGGGAATTTATCTGGGTACAGAGACAGAAATTCCAGGATTCAAAAAATTGGAACGCCGATAACAAAAATAGGCCATTTGCATTCTTTTCGTTTTTCCTTTCATATTTAAATTTTGTAGCCCCAGTGAGGTTTAAATAACAAAAGCCCTAATTTGCAAAAGAAAGCAAAACCCTGAAGGACCCTTGTCATGGTAGTAAAATGACGCCATCATGTAAATGGCCTATTACCAATTTTAATTATTTTAAAATAATTAGCAGCCTCTATCCCTGAACAATCAATCTAACACATACTAAGCCACCTGCAGCTAAACAATAAAAAAACTCCAGGCATTTTACCAGGCAGGTGAGCAAGAGAAACCTTTTAAGGGGTTTTCACGGCGCTGGAAAAAAAATTGCAAAATTCTAGAGATTTTCCAGCAATTCCTGGAATGAATTTACCGAGTGATATAACCGTGAAAACGTCAAAAGGTTCAAAGGAAGTGTCCATGACAGATACTGAGATGTTTGTCTCGTGCTTCTCAGTCCAAACAGAAAACAACCAATCAGAAGAGCCGCTATGAAATTCCCGCCTAAAAGACGCACTACAAGTGGTGAGTAATGCGGGAAAGAATATTGCGTCACGGTCTCAAATAAGGAAATTACCTTGACCCTCTCTTTCTCCAAGAACACCGCTGTGGCGTGAAGAACGTCTGCTGCATGCGTGGAGTTGTGATAAGCATTCTTAGAGTGATAATTTAATTCTATTAACTGAAAAGAACAAAAGAGGACAACAATTTACTGGTGTCGTACTGTATTATAGTAAAAATCAAGTGGAAGGTTATATTTTTACATTATAATGGCTAATTCTGGTCAAAATAGGTCAACCACGCTAGCTTATACCGAATTCAAATTCAAGCAGGTCTTCCGCAGAACTTTCTTGTAGTATTTACACCGTTAACAAGATCATAATAGACTTACTTGTAACCAATTCTTGAGAACGTCTTCAGAAATATTGAGATTCTCACAGGCCCTGAATCTGTTGAGTATCTTTGTTCCCAAAAAGTACAAGGGCCTAAAGCGAGAAACGAAGAATTATTTTTTTAAAAAATTATACCTGCCTATAACTTTCAGTGTTTACCACGAATGAAGGTTGAGTGTTCGCACGAGGAGACAACTAACCCTCTACGAACTTAACCACTTTAGAGACCGATTGCGAAAATACGCGTTTAAGATCTGATCGTCTACATTGCTTTCGTGAGGCAGGAGAGCCTTAAGATTAGGCGTTTTCTTGAGGTGCGCAATTAGTAGATTCTGGTCATATGCAGGACAGATCAAACACGGCAGGGCAAATCAGACGCCCCCGGATTCCCTCTCTTCCGCCCAAAATATAAAAAGACAAGAAAGAAAAAAAGCCGTCTTCGCCACTTTGGAGACGAGAGGGGAACTGGAGCAGAAATGCGTCCCGCAATTGTTTCTGGGATGGTTACTGGGGACGCGCCGGTCAGCTATTGGCCAATTTCTTCCCTGCCCCTAGTAACAGTCCCACAAGTCTTTGCGGACATCACAGTTTCTTCTCTCTCCCCAGTCTTTCCTGGAATGGTGACGGAAAACAGGAAATACTGAGAGCATGCTAAACCGGAATTAAAGTAAGCCTGCACCGCAAAATCAAAAGTTAACAGACCAGAGCGAAGTTTTGAAAGCAAGATCCCTACATAACCGCTTCTTCCTAGTCTTCTTTTCCTATTCATTCATTCATTCTAAAGAGCACATCTCACCTGTGATTGGAGGCTTTTTCCAACTTGAGAATATCAAAATCCCAGTCTGCATCATCCACCATAGCTGCAATGACTTCTGATGGCGCCTCCTGAAGATGAGAGATTGGAGTCCGCACACTGCTTTGTGAAGATTCCTTAGGACCTGACAAAACAAGTTGGGACGAACTTGTCTTAATATAAATTTACATTCCGATCCATTAACAAAACGCCCTTGAGACGAAGGCGTGTTGGTCACGATGTTATGGCCATATTTAATGTCTTCATTGATCCATCCATGACAGAAAATTCGGGTAAATTGGAATATGATTCTTTGTACAGCAACAGAAAAAAAAAATTAGAATTTCACAACGCTCGATTTATGGACCAAACTCATTTTCACTTTGATTTTGTCCTTTCGCTACTTTTAAACAGCCTTTGCCTCACTCCTGTCGCGGCTTTCACTTGCTCAATCCGAAATATTCTCGTAATAAAAAGATGATTATATGTCTCCAGTAGAAGACGTATAAGTAGTGTCCTCAATTAGTACTTTCGTGGTAAATACATTGTGACTTAAATATGGTGCATTTTTTACAGCTTGCCCCGGGTAAGGCGAGGAAAGTGGGGTCCGTGACAAGTACAGTCCATGTTTTCGGAAGAAATGACTGCATTTTCTAGGGGCCGGCAGTTTACAGAGTTAACTGGACAATTTGCTGAAGAGCACAAAACATTGAAAATGGATGCAAGAAGAGGCTGGGGTTTATAAAGTAGTTGGCGGTTTTATTCCGCATTTACACCAAATCTTAAACATGTTTAAAAGTTGTTAAGTTGAACATGGTTTAAATTTGTTTCCGTCATAAAGGCTGCCTCATGGTTTTTGTCAACTACAACTTTGCCACAAAGGTCCACAAATGAATGCAGATGTCAATATTTCCGTGAATTCTAAATAAAACTTGTTGTTTAGTTCTCTTTTATTTCTTTTCATTTCGTTAAACAGGGTTTAACTAACCATGTTTTATTGGTTTAATAGGGCTTAAGGCAGATCTTATAAGCATTAAACAAGCATTTGTCATGGGAGGCAAGCGAAGTTAAAATGGGCGTTTCCACACCACTCTAGTAGGCTGTTACAGGCATTCAGATAGTCAGACAGCGCAAAGGGCAGGTTTAATCTTTGCCACATTTTTTCACTCTGTCCTTCGCTTTACACTGTCCCTCCTATCTGGACACCTAGAACAGTCCACTGTATTACCATCACAGAGATTAGCCCTAGAAAAACATAACCAACGTTTGCATCTATCATCAGTGAGGTTAAAACAAATCAGAGTTCAGTTTGTGTTCAGACGAGTAAGAAATTAACATGATTACAAAACCTTAAGAACACCGACGGCATTATTAATATTAATTCGATTAAAACCAATTATCATGAAAGTTAGAAATTATTGTAAGTGCAAGCATTAGGCTCAGACCTCTGCCAAATGTGTAGAATAAGTTCATACTTGGTTTAGGCAGCACATCACACGAAGGCCTCCTTCGGCCCTGAAATAAAACACAGCACATTTTCACACACTGGAGGACAGCTAAGCAACTAATCGTTAACAAAAGTGTTGAAACACGTTTACGAAAGAGAGATACTAGAGGAAAAAAACCGACTCCACTCCCCACACATACTCCCAATCGAAGTTGGTTGTTATTTGCTGCAGACAAAATTTGTAAGAGTAGTGTTACAGCATTTTTCGCGGACATGTTTCTTTATTTTTTAAAGAAGGTAGTGTTGGAAAAGCTAAAAGTGGGATTTGTTGAAAAGCGTTGAAAGACGTGTCAAGACTTATTTTGATGACGATAGATCAATTTCGAATTTGCGGTGATCCATGAACACGGGAAACGCAAATTAAGATTAAAAAAAAATGACTCTTTCAGCTGAAAGCAATCTCTCTCTCTCTCTCTTGAAAATCGCGAGTGTCAGGTCACGCACGACCCAGCTACAAAAGATTGCGATACTTGTGTGTTATCCTATCGTGGAGAGCTCGCTCACAGGCTTTTAATTAGAGACTTCTAGATTCGAGGACGAGAACGACTACGAGGACTGGATTCGACTTGAATTTTTTTCTTCCATTATTTCTGGATTCACCAAGCGCTCAGAAAGCTCTATTTTCATTGGCTTTTGAAAACACATCTGTTATAGCTTTTAAGGATTACAGGCGTCCTTTTGGTCGTACATCAACTACTCATTAGAGATCTTTAGATTCTAAGATGCGACGAAGGCTTCGAGAACAAGATTTTCTGAATACTAAGTGCTGCGCAAGCGTAAACCAGCGTCATTTTGGCGGGAAAACGCGATAACCGTCGTCACTCTACTATGAGTTTTAGCGAGAATGTCATAGTGACGGAAACAAATTATAAAATGTTAGAACTTTCATCATTCAGGTCTTGATCAGGGGAGGGCTCAACCTCCTTCAATGGAAAAAAAATTTTACCTTTTCTGGTGAAAAATAAAGTTCAATGAAGCTTTCCGGGGAGTCTAATTCTTGAGAATACGCGGGAAAAAAAAAATTTAAATCAAATCTCTAGTAAAAAATAGTAAATCATAGTCGTCTTCGAACTGAATTTAAAAGCTTCTCTTCCGAGAGCGGCTCCATGGTGCCACCGTGCAAAGTGAGGGATCAATTTTCTGTACTCACGTTGCTCATGAGACCTCCTACTAGCTCATTACTCATAACATCTTCTTCCGTTGAAGTAAAGGGAGAATACAGTTCCGCTTGTCGAAGAATTTCCTACAAACGCAGTTTGCAGAACTGTCATTATTCTGAATGTAAATTGACATGACAGTGGACAGATAACAAGTGAAGTAAACTTGATTCAAGCCTTCAAGGAAAATCTCCGAAGTTTATAGTGATCTAGCCTACCGTCGCAACGTTAGCTTAATTAGATAAGCGCCGGTCTGCCGAGCGGGTGGCCGAAACTGGTTGAAAGCCCGGCCGGACCAACACTCGGTGTCTTTAAGTAACTGAGGAGAAAGTACTGCCTTTGTCAAACAACTGCAAACAGTTAGACTTTCTGGTATTCTCGGATAAGGACGATAAACCGAAGGCCCCGCCTCACAACCCTTGCACACGTAAATTCTGTTGGACGTTAAAGAACCCGCGCACTGTTCGTTAAGAGTTGGGTTCATAGTCCCCGGTAGCGTGGTGGTCGATCACGTGAGGGGAGGGACTGCTATGGGACCGCGAAGTGGCGTCACACGCCGTTGCGGTGATCCTACCAAGAATTGGCGAAACTAAGTACAGCCTGAAAACAGCCGACATTTAGCGAAGAACGATTTCTCCGCGAAACGCCGTCTGAGGAACGTGCGCAGAAATTCCATACTGATAACATATCACTATCCTGATCTTGTCAGTGCTGTTGAATGGTTGAAAATTTGGACTGCAGACTTCCAAAGAGATACTAACACTAAAAATAGCCTGCGTAACGGACGTTTTATTTTATGAGCCAAGCAAGGCGAACGCGGCATTTCGCGCTCGTCTCGTTCTTCGCGTGAAATGCCGCGTTCGCTCCGCTAGGCTCATAAAGCACCAGTTATGCTGGCTGAACTAAAAATATATTTTGCTTCTACGCAACAATGTGCCAACTGAGATGAAAATGAAGATTTCTTACCAAAACTCTGTCTAGAGCATGTACAACAGACATAGGACTATTTTCTTGAGCGGCTGAAAGCATATTTATTACCTGTTAAAGAATATGATAACAAGTGATTAATCCACACTTACATATCTATCAACAGCTCGGCATCTGGACGAAAACACGTGAAATGTTTAAAAAAAAATAATAAAGGGGAAGAGTCACGGCTGTCCAGTATGCTAGCTACAGCTTGCCCAAATGGCTTACTTTGCATCCTGGGCCCAACCCCAAGGCTGAGACTAAAACATCACGTTGCCAGGGTATTGCAATTAGTAGGTCTGTATGGACCTGGACAGCTAGGAGGTTGTCTTGGTTGAATCTTTCTTTAGGTTTCTATGAAAGCAGCCAGGGGTCATGCTAAGAGTGGCTTGCCGAAAATCCCTGATACCCGGTTCTAAGTGAAAGCCCCGATACTAGTACGTTAAAACTTCTACCACCTTTTTTGTGGTTTAAGGTTAGTGGGGAAAAGGTGGACTAAAAGTTGAAACAGCATTATGCCCCCAATAATTATGCTTATGTATTATGCTATGTATTATGCTTGAAATTAAAAAGTTCAGTCCACAGAAAGAAGGTACAAGTAAGTGTTAACTTTAAAGCTACCTAAAAAATTAAGACGGAATCCACCAGGAAATTGAGTAATTTCAATTTTCAGTGGACAAAAACCTTGTAACAGAATAATTTAAAGAATATTGCATTTTTACATTTTCCAAGGGCTCAAGATGTAATAACACCAAAGCAGATTTCTCATGGGAGTCCGAGAAAATCAATCTCAAATTTCTCAAGAATTGTGAGAACATGGTTAAAATTCTGAAAATTTAATGTGTAAGGTGTAATTTTGCGAAATTTGACGTTATTTTCTCGGGCTCCAAAAATCTTTAGCCCTTGAAAATGTAAAAAGAAAGCAATATACTTAAAATTATTCTGGTACAAGGTTTTCGTCCACTGAATTTGAAGATTACTCAATTTCCTGGTGGATTCCGTCATAATGTCCTTCTTACTTTTGTAATGGGTGCCTCTATTTTGGTGGTCGTTGTTGTTGTTGAGTGTCTTCTGAGATAACCTCCTGATGCAGAGTTGTAAGTGTTAGATTAGGTCAAACAATAATAACATGCAACCAGCCGGGGCGGGGCATTTGCGGAATGGGGGGTCATGGGTTCATATTCCATGGCCATGGCAAACACTCAGGGTCTAAATTAATGGGCCTTATTCACGATACCCGCCATCTTTTCAAGCGACTTAGAATGAGTCTCATCAAGTTTTATGTCACTATTACTTGCTGTGAGGACACCTACGATCCTTTCAAATGAGTTTCAACTTTTCCACTGTCATTCAGTATCTTATGTCATCAATACACTTCTGAAATTTCAGCTCATAAAGTATCAATTTGACTAGCATCACGATTTTATTCACGAGTATGGATTAAAGGACAGATATAATTATCTGAATTTCATCTGGACTGCACTCAAGATTTGAGAATGTCTACTTAAAAAATATAATAATTAGAATTCATTATTCTTTAATCATACCATTTGTTGATGCATTTATTTGGACCTGCTCTGTGACTCCACCGGCTGTGGTTGGCTGAAAGAAAACGAATTCTATGTTAAAACGTGACACCAATGTAAGATGTTGCCATCACATTCATGACATTCGAAACTTTACAGCAAAGGGAAAGGTAGTCAAAATTGACAAGGCAAAGCGTATGCTGTCCTCACACATCAAAGATAAACTTACCGAAGCAATGTTAACTTCCATGTTCATGTTGACTTGATTAAGAGGATTGGCTTGCGAGAGTTCTCTCTTCAACGTGACATGGTGCGAGACTTTCCTTTAAGCAAAGAGCAGCAAATTGAAATTATTAATTGGCTCCTGGGTGGCTCATTTGGAAGAGTGCAGCTCTGTTAAGCAGGACAGCACTGGTTGAAACCCTGATTGGAACACCAGACAGGGTGGACCCTGCCTCGGTGCAGTTTGGGGGTTGATGTTGAGTTGTTGGTGTTTTCTCCTTCATTTGAAGGGGATGGACAGAAGCCCAGAACCCACAACTCTATTCAAAACAATCATGGATGTAGACCCTGTTAAAGTTGCACAGTAATTGGCTTCAAAGAATAAAATAATAACTTATTAAGCAAACCTATTAACATTTCAGAAAAATCCTTACCCTCCTTTGCCGATGACTGGAATAATGTTGACATTTTGTAAGAAAGTATCCCCATTTCTTCTTTTTCCTAGAACTTTTCCTTCCCATGGCTGAAAAAAAAAAAAAAATATTGAGGATCAAAATGGCTAGTGCAAAATGATATAAATGTAGTTTCAAATTAACGAGCAGTATATTGTAGCAATATAAAAACGGTTTTACAATCATATATTGGTCGTAACTGATAAGAATAATTACTATTCTTTGCAGCAAATCTTGACAGGTCAGTGACTGGTAGCATTAACTTGTGCACTGATGATCTTTTGATACAGGTACATGTGGTCTTTACCCTGGCCCATCATAACAATATTACCGGTAATCATAACTCTAAAAAAATTCTCTAATCTGATTGGCTGTCAGCAATAATAGGACAGTACGTGTCAGGCCTAAGTAAACAGGGACCTTGCGAAACTACAACAGTGACTGGAACAGAAACATCAAAAAAGCAATAAGTTTAGTAAGAAAAACAACTCTGCAAGTGCATCCCGCTTTTTTGGATATTTCTTTGCCGTTCCTGCACAATGACGACATGAAATGACCAAATTTTAAGTTAACTTGAGAATGGAAATGGCAACACGACAAATGTCTGAACTAGGGCACGGTCCCCTCTCTCTTCGGCTCCAACCTAAATTCCCTTCTTTTAAGTAAAAGGGTGCCTTAGGATAATCGCGAAATAGTTCGACAGGATGCAAAGTAGATTTTTCAGCGGCGTTTTCATGGATGTCGCCCTTGTCAGATTGTAAGGTCCCTATTGGACAGTGCGTGCCATCGCATGGGTGCACTTGAATAAAATAAAATAATAAAATAAAATATTATTCGTTTGTCCTGTGATGACGTTCTCTCCTTGATTTGCCTGTATTACATACAGTTAACATTTATTAAAAACAGTATCTTTTCCAGTTCCTACTAGGTATTTTCTTGTACAGGTTTACTGTGCTTTGCTTTGGATGTGATCATAAAATTTCCTTTAAGTTTCCTTAAACTTACCTTCCCTTTCTTTAAGTGCGCATGTATAGATTCGTATGGTTCCTAAATTAAAACACATTAGACAAGATAAATAAAGATCTGCCATCTTTTGGCAAGCAACTACAACAGCAAATTCAGTAAATAGCAGTGTAGTCATCTACTGACAATTTTGTTGATGTGGACTCTGGTAACTGGTCACTTGATAAAAGGTGGATAATGTCAAGACAATGGGCATTACTTATTATTTTAACTTCTTGTTTACAAAAGGTCATCTGGTCAGATCCTCATAGTTGATTCATAAGAGTGCAGTTTGCTCCATGGGCAATAAGTCAAAAGGAATGGAAGAACTTACTGGCTTCTCATGTTCACTATTCATGACTAAGGATTTGGGATGCCCAATAACGTCTGGCCTCCAGTACCCAGTCATTCTCTCAAATGCAGGGTTAACATACTGAAATGCAACATAATAAAACCCTGTTATTAAAAGGTGACAATTGAGAGTAAAAGCTCAAAAATTTATACTTCAAGCTTTTCATGATACTTCCCCATGCAATAATACATATATTATAATTTGGAAGAAGAAGAATTCTAAGAACAGACAGCTCAGAAAAAATTCTGAACTCCAGGTGAGATATGAACTCATGACCCTCCGAGTTGTAGTTTGGACGCTATAACCACTGAGCTACTGGAGGCTCTATGGCGACCCTTAGAGCAGGGTCGAAATTGAATTGTAACTACATCAGTCAACTGAAAAGGGGACTTGCTCAAAATCGGCCGTCCACCAGTAGGTTAAAATAACAATATATAGGTTTTGCCAAGGCCAAAAGCAAAACTCTTGTAAGATTTTTAAATAATAATCCTTTTTCCTTCATTCAACTTTCAACATAAAATACAAACAAACTGAATTCCTCCTGAAAAAACTGGACCTGAGCCTGTGATCAATTGAAAACCAATGACTGGTCAGCAGGGAACTTTAAAAAAAAATGGAATTTCTGCTGCTGAGTCGCAGATGTTCCTCCTCACGAAACGTCCACGGCGGCGAAGAGCGAGGAGAAACGGATGTTTTCGCAGGCTACACCTGCAAGAGCTCCACTAATACTGCACATTTGCATGATATCAAAAGTTCTTGTTGCATACCTCGACCCGTAGCTCAGGCTTCTCTGGGTCCAGACTTGTTATCTCGACAGCGTCATGGGAATTCTCGATTGCACTGAAGAGACAGCTTGTTGCCCGGAGTTTAAACATTGACTGTACTTCTCCATGTTCCAACATGAGCAGCTCATTGTGGCAGGCACCAACATTCGCATTTTCAACAAATCGCTGTAAAGTGAACAAAACAAATGTCGCCAGGTTGTACCTAACTGTCAACCAAAGACCTTTGCCATTTAAAGTAAAATAATAGGCCTTGGCATGAAATTTTCAAATTTTGCGAGTCACTGATGGAGAGTTTAAAACCTCTAAACAGTCTCTCTTCAAAGCTTAAGGACAAACACCTCTGAAGTTAAGGACCTTTTTTTAAGAAGTGCTAGTCTGTTGTTCTTTTGTTGCTAAAGTACAAACAAATAAGCAAACAAGAAGGACAAATTTAATCACTCTGATAACATAATTCAGTAACTACACGTCTAAAAGACCAACCCCTCACTTAGGATAAGCACGGAAAACTTCACTTCTTAACAAAGCTTAGGGTATATGACAGGCCAGCAAAATAATTAATTTTTTCCTTTGAAAAATATCCAACAAGTTCACCATGTTAGCTGGACAAACAAGAAAAGTTGTTGGAAATTCATTATGTTGACCTTGATCCCTTTAATTACAGTGGAACCTTGATTTACCGAACCTCTATATAATAGAAGTAACATAACGTAAGTCCCCAGAATATAAACAATTTTCTTTACCACAGTAATAGTAAAATATATGAAAGAGAACCTTGATATAAAAAAACCTTGTTAAGGTGAACAAATTTTGTCAGTTCCTTGGCCCTTCATTATATTGAGGTTCCACTGTACTATACAAATCTTCAGCTACAAAACAATAATAGCCTTTGCAATCAGATCTGTCTGGTCATCATGTCCAGCCTTAGGTAGGATTTTCTCAGACCTACATGGGCAAATTTTACTTAGACATTGTCCAATGACCATCTGTTATTTGTAGCTCTCGAGATAATACATGTTCTTCCTGCCTTGTTACAAACACTTCCAGAAATGTGTTTTTTGTTTTGTTTGTTTTCTTTTTCATTTACAGACATGGTGTCTAAAACTACATACCCTGTCAAATCCTGCCTTTAACAGCGGAAGCATCAATGGCTCATCAGTTCGAGGACTAAATAGATAAACACACAAAATGGAGAATCAGTAGCTTGCAGTGTCTGATTCTGGACTACAGGGGATAACGCAACACTTTGAAGGTGTCAAATATCTGAGCTGGTTTCCTTTAAGCCCCAATATCCACCTACAAATGCTCCAAACTGATCTTTATACATTTTCTTAGAGGATTAGTTGAGAGAATTTGATGACAGATCAAAGAAGTTTCTCTATGGCGATCAATTTATCAATTCTCATGATCATTTCTCTTGACAATGTATGGATATTATTAAGAGAAAATTGATGTTTGTCATTATATTGGGACTTAAAGGGTTAAACAGCATTCATTATCAAAAGATAATTTGCTATACCCAAAAGCCAATATTCTAAGTAAGTAGTAGCCATTTAACATCACATTATCATTATAATAAACGTACATGCACATTCAGAAGTTTTGAACCAGAAACACCAGTTGAGAACCGTAACATTTCAATTCAATTAAAAAACAAATTACATGATATGCATAGAACACTCCAATTTTGAGGGTAATTTAAACCTTTTTAAACAGTGCTGTCAAGTCACTGCTATTCCTTGACAGTGCTTTGAAATTTTGCAACCCCTTCCCTTTTTTTTTTTCTGTTTTGTTCTTTTTTGTTGTTGATATATATTATGGTTAATGTATGTACACGTGTTGTAAGTTTATAAAATTAAACACAAATGAATAAATAAAAATGTTGCTGCCAGTATCAAAAAATGAGAGGTCTATGTCTATATACCCCACTAGTGTGATCATAATAATATGAAAGCTGCTTAACTCATGTTATCTTTCTTGTTAGTCAACAACATAAGATTAGATCATAAACATAAATGTCACGTGTAGTATTGACCTGACTACACCTAATTGCGACCTTCATCTGCTAAACTTTCCTTCGCAATCAAGACAGACGACATTACTTACAAAAAAAGGAAAAATACCTTTTTACTTGAATCGTGAACCTTGTGGTACTGAATGTATTAACTCAAGCAAAATAAAACTGAATTCGTCTTAGAATCTGAACCATGTTTTTGTGTTACTGGTCAACTAACCTGCATACTTTAGAGTGAATTTCAATATCAATTTCTATATGCACCATTCAAAACAGTTCCTCTTCCACTTTTGGGCTGCTTAATATTAATTTAATACCAGTCATTTGTGAAGACCACTCTTTGTCAATTCACATAGTACCCTTGAGCTCTGAACAGTTTATGTGCATGTAAAGCTTGTTTGCAAAGGAGAGTTTGATTTGAAAGTGGCACGTAAGTGAAATCAAAATACAACAGTGCTTGACCAGACCTGTCATCCGTCCAGATGCCACATGTGAAAATTTTGCGGAGGCAATGGGATTTCACTTTACTAGAAAGTGTAATAGAGTGAAGTTAGTGATTCTTGTCTTTTTTATCACACAATGTAGATGTATATATCTTTTTCCTCTTGACACTGAAAAATGCCACCACTATTTAATACTGATTGTTATTTGTTTTGTCTCTTTCCTTCCAAAAATCCTTTATGTCACTATTCTCCACTGTGTTAAACTTTTTTTAAAACTACCATAAGAACCCCCCCACGTAACTTTTATTTGCTATAAAACAGGCAAAGATACAAATGCCTCGAACTGTGAAAAAGTAATAATTTTTATTAAAGAGTCACAAAAAGTCAGATCCCTGTAACAAGACATAGAAAAATTTACCTTAAGGGAAAACACATGACAGTTAAGTGTTACACATACAAACACAAGTGGACCAATGGGAGTCTAAGCAGCTTTCATTTACTAGGCCACACTAATGGTTTGTCATTCAACCTTTGTATCGCTGTTACAGGTAAAATCTGAACTCAGGCTCAACTGACCGTATTTAACCTACTTTAAGAGTTAGCTTTTTGCTGGGGTGCTAAACCGGGTACAAGTTACCCTCAACATCACCTTGCCATACTGATGAACAAACACCACACAAGATAAAAATTGGAAGGATCAAGCAACTTGGTTCATTTTAGCAAATTGAGGAGGTTTATTTTGACAACGACATTGAATCAAGGATAAACAGGATTTCATGGCTTGCAAACTCTAACTGAAAGTTCTTGAAAAGAAAGGATGTGCATATCAAAAAGAAACAAAAGAGAAACATTTAAACTTGACAATGACCATACTGGCTTGATTCTTATTAAGCCTACATTCAAATTGAGTAAAGCCTGGTTACCTATGGTTGTTACGATCGCTGCGATCACTGAGAAAAAAAAAGTTCAGTGATCACTGAGCTTGAAATGCCATCTCAGCGATTGTTGTCGCTGAGATAGCTGGAGAGTGGGCTTTAAGAGACTTCCACTGAATTCCAGTCATGTTTTTGTTTCCTGCATTTTCATGGTCATCAGGTTTGTCAAAAAACTTTAAGACCCCTCTTTGAAAACAACATTTTTAACTTCATAATAGCACAGACTACCTTAATTATCATTATCATTTGCATTCTTACCTTCCTTTAACAACAGCAATGATTATAGAGTTCTCTCGTGGACCCTTTGCTCGTATGATTCTAAGAGCAAGCAAGAAGACAATGGTTGCAAATTAAAAGAATGAAAATGATAAATTGTATGTGTTGCACAGTTTGGGCTAAAGGTAGAAATATAAAGCATGCATAAATTTCATTAGGAACTCCCTAATTTCTATTAATTACCATAATATTATGCCACAGAAGTTATCATCCTCTAAAAGGATTACTGGACATCTGTAACTACAATTATGTGCATTGAGAATGATGATTTTTCCGTCAGTGACACAGCCAGCTCACAAGAATAAATAAGAATACTCCCAATAGTAGCTCAACCTATGACCTTAGTTCCGGTTACTCGTCTAGATGCTCTACCAATGAGCTACAGGAGACTTGTGGGAGCTAAGACCACTAAACTAGGTTCACTTAAGTGGTGATAAAGGACTTTAAATATGTATGATAGTGTAATACAGGGCTCTCCTTTTTTCATACAAATCACATGTTGGCTATATACTCTCATGATTGGCCCAGAAACTTTCAGCTTGAGCAAGTAAGACATGCTAGAAATTTATGGTCATCAAGTACCATAAATCTAGTTATTCCCCATGCCTCGGACACTTTTCAGTATAGCGTGGCAGCCCTCTTCAACTCTCTGCCATCCAATGTTAAATGTTGTGATAATTTGAAATCCTTCAGTGAGCAAACATTATGTATTTTAAGGGAGCGATGCCGGAATAGGGCGGAATGATTTCTTGCCTAGTTTTACATAATGTATCTATATATTGTATAATTACATTTTACTGTTTATTACCTAGCTTTTTACAAATTCATAATTCAGATTTACCGGTATGTTAATTTCCTCTTTTTACTTTTATATCAGGCGAAGAGCCATACCATGGATGTAGTGATATTAAACCATTATTATCATTATTATTATTATTATGTTGGGCACTCTAGATTTTAAAGGTTTAGAGCACTGGGTTCCCCTCATTTTTCCTTAGAGCACAACCTTGATGATGGCCTATGATGGCTGTTCATTCATGAAAGGCTGAAACCATAGCATTACAGGTGTGGTCACCTATAACAGGCAGTAACTTACAAGAGGTGGATGCACATGGAGGTCCCACTAAACCCTAGTGTTTGACTTGGCCTCTTGATCTAAGTTCTAATTTTTGAGGAGACTCGAAGCTAAACTTCACAAATTTTTCTGGTGATGTAGATTTTATACCCAAACCTTCTTCATAGTATCTTTGTTATCAATTCATAGATGATCCAAAAGTCTGGGGGGTAAATTTAAAAAATACCTGCAAAGTCTTTCTCCATCAATGACTGAATTTCCTCTCATGTCAATGAATATTACCTAAAGCAAGTTCAGTACATTAATTACATTAGTAATATACATACTGTATATAATTCTGGAATAGGCCAGTTTGCAATTAAAATAGGCCGTTTCTGAGTTCCTAAAACTCTCAGTTTAAAAAATGAGGCTAAGTGCAAAACCTTTCATGTGAAAATGAGATTTATTTGCACGAGATTGAAAAAATCCTTTTCAGATCAATAGCTTCACACTAAGCCTCTCTTTAACCCTTTAAGTCCCAATAGTGACCAACATCAAGTTTCTCCTAACAATATCCATATGTTGCCAAGAGAAATGGTTATGAGAGTTAATAAAATGACCAGTAAAGAGAAAATGCTTTGATCTGTTATCAAGCTCTCTCAACTAATTATTTAAAGAAATGTATGAAGATCAATATGGAGAATTTATATGTGGATATTGGGGCTTAAAGGGTTAAAACAGAGGCTTAGAGCAACTTGGAATTGGCTCCAGAGCTGAGGGGAATAAAGCGGAAGAATCAAATTATGGATCCCCCAATCTCAACACCATTTGTTTTGTTTTAGTAGGGAGCTTAAGCAGCGACGTTTTTGAGCGACGCACGTCAACCGGAAGTGAGGTGTTTTCCCTCTTAATATGCCTTGATGATATAAAATTTGTATTCCTTAGCTTCTTTACTGTTATAGAGGCAATTTGACTGAAAATTTGCACGAAACCACCGTCAAAAAATGAAAAAAGGCCACTTCCGGTTGATGTGCGTCGCTCAAAAACGTTGTTGCTTAAGCTCCCTATTATCTTGAGCTTTGGAGCCTCGTATGAATACCATCCACTGATACAAGTAGATTTTGCCCTGGGTAAGCAACTTTCTCAGCCCTGACTGGCTTGACTAGTTTTAGTTTAGGCAAATGGTAAATAAGGGATTAAATTGATGTGATTTCCAGGGTGTCATTCATATCATTCTTAGTTATTGGTTAAGGAGAAGACAAATTAGGATGATGCCTAATCTCAGCCAGAAAACTACTTAAACCATAATATTTCTTTTCACAGCAAGAATACTCATGTTCATATCTTACGGATAAAGTTGTTTTAAATCTTTCACTCCACTACAATATATAAAGCCAAACCCTATCAAACAAAGATCTGTGAAAAGCTAGATTTACACTAGAGGAGATTTTTCCTTATTCATAACATTAATCCAAAATGTAGTGTTTGTTACTAGACCTTGTATTTTAGTATAAATTCCTTTGCCATTAGATAACTGATTATCTTTGGATAGCATAACCTTAACCACAATCATGTGATTAAACCACTATTTACCACATTGTAAATAACACTGAAGAAAGAGACTAATAAAGCAGTTGTGTGAAGCACTTCAGTCACTTTACCTAGACAAAGATATTTTTTTCAAGCTAATAAACATTTTCACCACAGGAAAAAAAACCCTTTTGCATAGAGGTAAACAAAAAAAACTAAATATCTGCATACTTTAGCTTTACAAACTCAACACACATGTGCATTAACATACATCAACACATGAAAATGTGGCAATAACAAGCTGTTGTTAATTTTGCCTCATTGAAAGCAGGTTCTTTTCTCTTGAAAATATCATTTTTGTGGTTATGAGCCAAGAAGTAATTCAATGGAATGACAGCACTGAAGTTCAAGGTCACAAAGTGAAAAACAAAAAGAAGAGAGTCAAAAATGCAGATTACATGAAAGCAAAATACAGATGTAATTGGGTGATAACTTGGATTTTAATTAATTTCCATGTCATATACCTGTACAAAGGGCTGTGCTCAAGCAGTGCCAGGTGGCTTCTGTTGCCTTACTTTTGTTCTTGGATGATAAGGAAATCTTAGCTTTTTCATAAAAATTTGATGCTAGGCACCTTGGATTTCACAGGTTCAGAGCACTGGGCTCTATTTAATTTTTCTTTGAGCGTAGCCTTGACCCATTTCAGTATCCCCCATAGTTTACTTTGAGACAGATCAAACGTTTGTAATGTACACATTCTTAAAAAAATAAAAACTTGTAAGTTTGTAGGAACTTTCTCTCAAAAAGCGTGGTAAAACTAAATCAAACTGCTTTTTCTCTTTTTCAAAATAACTGATGACTAACATTTTGGAATTTAAGGAAAACCAGCTTGCTTGCAACCAGGTTTCTACTTTATGCTACGACCTTTCAAAATATATGTTCAATGTTAACTATTGAAATGGAAGGCATTCTTACATCTGGCTGCACATTAATGTACTGCTCCATTGCCTCTTCAGATGTTTTACAGATCTGACACACATATCCTCCTCTTTCAGCAGCGTGAACGAAGCTGTCTGTTTGGGCATCTTCCTTTGAAAACACCAGCATGATCTGTGATAAGAACAAGAAGTTTGCAGAGTGATAAATTTGCTTGAAAATTACCAACTTCTCCCTACGACCTCTGTGGGAAATGAATTGAGGGAACAAAGGAGAATTCAAATTTTGATCTTGGGGGTTAAAGGTTTAAGGTACCGTAAAAAGGGCAACAAAAACGTGCAACTTGTTTTGCAACATTGCTGAAAATGAGCCGAATAGTGATTTTGTGCATTATAACACCCATGAATCAAACTTGTCCTTCAACAAATTAGGTCGTTGCAGGTTGCAAAAAGTTGTTGCAAAAGCAGAAAAAAGTTTTCTTTTTAAAACAAAATCTGTACATGTTGCACGTTTTACCCCTCCAAGGCAAACTTGTTTTGCAGCAAGTGATGTTAATTCTGTGTATGGTATGACTCCTGTATAATTTTGACCAGTCAAAAGTTAGTAAACCCACAACTTGCAACAACCTGCTTTGTTGAAAGACAAGTATGAACATGGATGGTAAAATGCAAAACATAGCCTTTCAACTTATTTTGCAGCAATGTTATAGTCTGAACAAGTTGCACATTTTTTGTCTGTTTTTCAGTAGATTTACTATTGTCACTTAACACTTTCAACACCATAAGGCAGTTTTCTGGCGCAAATAGAGGGTGTCTGTAACACTACGCACTGGAAATCTGCAGATCTCAGACAACCCCACGGGATTGGTTAGGAAAACATGAAATAACAAAGTTAACAATGGAACGTATCCCAAAAACCAAACAGCTGCAACCTATAGGGGTCTAATTAAATTAGAGGTTCTGAAGAGCTACAATGGTAAGGTAACTCCTTTATCTGAAGAACACATGAACAGTTATGATAAAACTGATAAATTTGTGGCTTCAAGGTTATTGTGGATATTGGGCCAAACAAAGCAGCTCTCTTAGTTAGGATATGACTGGGCTCTAATTTCCATATTTGGAAAACTAATCAATGCAAGTGAAAGGACATGCTTTGAAAACAGAATGGTGGCCTGTTTCAACAATCTGAAAGATAAAGAAAGCATAGAAAGAAAGATGGACAAGAAAACTTTCAGTGCATTTTTCCCTGCATTTGAACAACAATCAGACAGGAAGAGAATATTCCAGAGGAAAGTTTGCCACAAATTGCCAGGGATAAGTTGTATTAACTATGCCCTTTTTCCTTTGGTTTCATAAAATTATTAATTAACAAAAAAATAAATAAGAAAAAGAAAATATCTTCACAATTGTACAATTGATGACTGCTGAAGCCATCAAAGATATTTGAACCTGTTATGAACCATAAAAAACAAGATATTCTCTTGAATCCTACTGCAAAGCCTTTAAGTTAGATCTAACTTCCTTCAGTAAGATGTGTGCAGCATTTTTGCTGGATTTGGGAATATTTTCAATGAAATAAACAATACTACTGTTTTGGTTCTTTTGTTTACTGTAAAATTCTCCTTGTAATGACGTATTTCGTAATTACTTATGGGGTTTGCAGTACATGCAAATTAATTTTCATTTCAGAAACTTGTATGCTTTTTTTCTTTTTTTTTTTTTCATTTTAAAAACTGTCAGTGTCTTTGTTGCTTTTTCTTCAGAATAGCCAGTGGTGAAAGGGTTAAATTTTGAAATAAAATCAGGGGTCCCCAACCTTGTTAGGAGCAGAGGAGGGACTTGCATATACACCATGATTCCTTGAAAAACCAGTATGATTATATTAAATTTTAATAGTACATGCTTTGAACACACTTCCGACGATTGTTTCTTTTTCTACAATGGAAAAAATTCCGTACTATTCAGGACAGAAAGTTACCGCTAGTTTCAAAAAAGGAGGGAGAGAAAAAAAAAGGTTAAGACTAATTTAAGGCAAAATGAAGATTTACGTATTTGATGAGCTCCAGCCTTAAGGGCAAAAGCTTTAATGTGGGCACAAATCAAAAGAAATTGTATGCAGCAAAGATGCCTGAACACTTTTAAGGAACAACCCTAAAGGAGCTGTGTCACGAAATTCGTTAACTTTCAGATAGTGGGATTGAGTGAACATAAAAAAGACAGCTCAAAACATTACAAGAAAGTATAAATATCACAACAAGCACAAAGGGAGGCACGCATGGACAAACTTGAAGATAAAAATGGATTGAAAATTGTGGTTTTTGAAAAGTGGTTAGTCTAAATATTTTTTAAAGTTTACTTTTGTTGTCTGTAACATGCTTGGACATACCATAAACTTATGATTATAAGCCCCCCCCCCGACACATTTTTTAGTCCAGTTATAAATGCCCCCCTCCCTCCTCCCCCAGGGCTGATAATTGGAAGTTTATGGTATTCAGTCTGACATGAAAATGTGATTTTCTAATTTGCCTGTGATTCTGTCGCTAATGTTACAGTGTAAGATCCATCCTGAATAAGGACATGTAAAATTGGCAATATTACCAAAATGAAGTAGACTGCCGTGACACAGCCACTTTTACATAGCAAGTGAGTTAATGTCATAAACTTTGTAAATGATAATTATTAAACAAGGTTTACAGTGGTCTTAACAGTGTGATTCTTCAACCTTAACAAAACGTACACCAAGTTAGCAAGAAACTGGGACAACGTGGTGGGCTGGGATTTTTTTCTGTTTTGTTCCATTGTTTACATCTGGGGGCATTTTAAGAGCCCAATTTGCACAGGAACATAATTAGAATGAATGCTGGCACCTCTGCGAAATATTTGAAGCCCAATGAATCCAAATGAAATTGTTGGACCAGTCATCAATCAATTTGACATTTACATTTTTTAACTCGTGGAAACAAATTTATCTACATATTTACACTATATGCACATCTTGCTTTTAACCACAAATGTTACCTACCATAACATACATTCCTTTCAAGATTTGATTAATAAAATAGTGTCTTTTGGTTCAAATATGATAGCTTTAAAGCACCACCATGTTCATAACGTAGCCAATGGCAAAATTATAACTCCACAACTCATAACAGGTTACAGTCGACTCCCGGTAACTCAAACCCTCTACAACTCAAACCTCCCGCTAACTCGAAGCAATTTTCATTTCCCTTCAGAAAACCTTTCATTTCCCTTCAGAACATTTTTTATATAATTTTACCCTTGATAACTCAAACTCCCGATAATTCGAACGTTTTTCTGTTTCCCTTGAAGGTTCGAATTATCGTGATTTGACTGTAGTTATAAGCCATGTTTTAGGACCTGCAATGATAGCCAAGGAGGTGGCCACTGGTACCTAACTTTTGCTCCTAGGCAACTAGAAAATCCTGGGGTTTTTTCCATAGAAAACATACTGGGCACCTGCATTTCACAGATTCAGAAAACAGGGCTTCCTTTAATTTTTCTTTTAAGTGCAGCCTTGAATAGCAGTTTTTTAACTTCTGTACTAATCCTGTATAAACATATTCTTTGTAATATTATTTTGACATTTTTTTAAAATATAAGTCCTAGTCTGATGATAAAATTCCTAGCATCAACTCAGAACAAATACCATTCAAATAGGCTTTGAAATGCTCATACACTTTTACTGTTTTTTTTTTAATGAAGTCGAAACTGCTGACAGCGAACATTTAACCTAACTTCTCAATTTCAACCTTACATACAAATAAATTAAGCAGGAAGCACTTCTAAGAGTTTAAGACATAGTGACATTTAACTGAGACAGTCTCAAGAGTTTCTGAGACAAAAAAAAAGACTTTCACCAATCTAGCAAAACCTGTGGAAACCATTCCACTGGCAATTATCAACGCATGCACTTTGAATTGTATCCTCCAAAATTTTGCGGTAAATAAAAATATAGTGAGAACACAGAATCAACACTGAATGTGACAAGCAGAAAAAAAACTCTTACATTCTCACCAAAAAGATAGCAGTGCATTGATCCATATTTTGCTGTTTTGATACTGAAAAGCAAGCTTGACACCCTAAAACTAACACTTGGGACATGCTTGAATGAAGCTTACTGTTAAAGGAATCCCTAGAGTCAACTTAACACATAACCAGACCAGATATTTTTCTCCTACATTTAAGTAATGTTTCTCGCAAGGTTTAAGAACATGCCTGATTTGCATAAAAGGAGTCGAGTCAATTGTTTCGCAGAAACCGTTCTAGCATATAGCATCCAAAACATGGTAGAGCTGTATATTGTACTATCGTCCGTTATCACCTTGAAGAGAAGGTGAAATTTGTAGAACATGCTGTATAAAATAATACTCTGCGCACCCACAATTCTCTGTTTATTTCACTGTTGCGAATTTATGTCCACGCGCAAGAGACGAGTTGTAGATTTCTCTTTCGAATGTCAGTTTCAGTCCATACATGTTGAAATAAACTTAAGTTGAATCAACGAATGGCGAAATTTTCCAAAGCACCTTCCATATGAGTTTTTAGTCCTGCCTTTTAAAAAACTTAATTTCTTTATTTTCTTCACGAGATCTGATGCAAGATGTAATGAAGAATATTTAGGCTTCATATCGATTGTAAAGGAAATCAAAAGTTCGCACGGAAACTTTCAAATCTCAAGTCAAAAGAGCTCGTGCTTGGTTTGTTTACGAAGATCCGAGTGCTTTTTTCTTCCTTACACAATGTTTTTAACTCTATTTTGCTCAAAACCACTATAAATGCATCTGAAGATTCCACCTATTCGCTGGCAACCACAACAAAAATCGCAAAACAGTGTCAACTTGAGGTCATGAAATGGACTAACACTCTGAAAACACAGTTTCATTCAAAACCTCGACTTTTGAAGCGCTAAGAGAATGAATAGAACCGGCAAAATATCATGTATAATTGCGGTTTCTTCAATTTGACGGCGCATTCCATATGAAAGATTCTTACGCATTAAACGTTGGCGTAATCAATTTCAAGCTAGAGAAGCTTTCATTAATCTGTCTCGAAGAGCCGGCAGAAAGAACTAGCAGCGCTGGGGAAAACGTTTCTGCGAAAACAAGTCGGTGGCATCCTGTTAAAAGCCAAACGCGACAAAAAATTCAAGCAAAAGGGGGCCACAGACATTCACACGACGAGATCTTTTGTAAACAAAAAATAGACCAATCTTTTTACACGCTCGACGTGGAAAAAACCCTGGGTTGGCCGTACAAATATCGGTGAGGATTTCTCCCCCTTACCGTAAAGATTGTAAAGTGCTGCCACCATGCTAGAAGAGGTTAAAATTTAAGTCGATGACCATTTAAGATGCGAAAACATGTCTTGGAAACACAGGAGAATAGTTCGAATGTAAGCGCCTTTTGGCTTCGCTTCGAATAAACTTAAAAGTACGAAGTGAATATGTTGGGTTCTATACCGAAATATATATTTAAAAAACACAAACACACAAGTATTCAGGTCGTACATTGAAGAAGTTTGATCCGATTAAATACAAAAAATGAGCTGAATAACCTCAACTAGCTGAAAAGAGAAAAAAAGGCAAGCAAGTACATGATCTCTAACTTGCATCGCAGCCGCGAGTCACAGCCAGCTTTGTATATTTTTGCTTTTAGAAAAAGACGAATTATGAATCGTACCTGCATTTGTGCTTGATATAACTTCATGGGTCCCAGCAAAACTTCCTTTCTCTCATTCTATAATAGAAATATCCAAACAAAAAATATCAACGGAATTTGTGAGCAAGAAAGAACAAATTTCGAGGAAAATGTCCGCAAAGCAGTTTTTAATCGCTAACAGAAGTCGACCACTGAGCCCAAACGGGAAAATAACAGTCTTTTACCTCGTCATCCATAGTACTCGGGTCGTACGTCTGAGTTTCTGCTTCGATAGAACTGCCTCTGTGTGAATTTTGCCCCTTTTTGATAATTCCACGATTGCGAGATGATGATGAAGAAGAAATATGCGAACCAGAGTCGGAGCTTGTGCGAATATGGCCGACAATCTCACTGGGTGAAGATGGTCGTGGTCGGGGGCTTGATCCTTCGCGAATGTCGTCTCTACAATAAAATACTCCAGATTGTGAGACGTGTATGCTAGGAGCACAGCCCATTTATAGGGCTTAATAGGAAGAACATTCACAGTCAACTTGAACGCAAAATTGCAACCGAACTTCCACAAGCAGTCAATAAGGTCGACAAGATATTAGAATTATTTCGCCTTCCCACATGCAATTCAAGGTCCCCCAACCAAAAGCGTCAATTGTCGGCGGCGAATAAGCATGTGGTACGCTGAAAATACAGCTAGCCCGCAAAGTTCGCACAATCCATGGCCGGTGTTTAATCTCCTCAATCAACCCTTGGAAGAGCTGATTTCTATAACACTCGGCACAATCACTCGGATTTGAAAATTTCAACCTTCTTCGCTTAAAGAAGCTGTTGCTGTTATGGGAACAAACTTTTGGGTCGCTCGTCATGTAACGAGGTCCAATCCCCGTTCTTCAATCCCTGCCATGTGACCTATTAACAAATTTGCTACCGAATCGATACCGAGTCGGCAACGTACGATCGAGATCTTCGGCAGCAGCCGTTACATCGTCGGCTTCCGATCGAACAGCTGCAATCTTCTCGGCACATCCCAAACGACTTTTCAGTTGTAACTTTGCGTTTTATTTACTTGCAGGGCGGTCGACACAAATAAAAGATATTGCCAAAAATATAGAAGATGAAATACGAGAAAGTGCTAAAACGTTTCCTCGATATCAGCAGCAAAAAAGCAGTTGGCAGTCCGGCAAAATTATAAATGGCTTTCTGGGTTTTGGCGCGTGTAAGTTACTTTCAAATTTCTGGGTTGAATATGAAACTCCCGAGGAAACAGGCAATGTACACAAAGAGAACCTTTTAGGGGTGACGTCACATCTAACACAGATGGTCTGTGTTAGACTGAAAAAGAACAAATGGTAATTATTCATGAACAATTTTTTTCTCGATGGTGTACAAGACAATTAAAACTGTCTCAATGGAATTGAACTAACATTATATCTGCAGAAATACTAAAGGAATTTTTGAACGAAGAGTTCATCTTTTTTTTCAAAAACCCATATTACTGCTAGTCGATGCAAATTTAAAGGTGTTCTGTTGTCTTTTTAACCGCTCTTGAAAGTGAATTAACTGATCCGCTGATCTACTTTTACAGTTTCAGTTCTAGGTTTTGAAGCGTTATTTTCTCTATATTATACGGCGTTTTCATTAAAATGTTATTCAATTTAAAGCCTGCGAGGACAAAAGAGAAGTCGTCTACTTCCCAGCAGATAACAGAATTTAAAAAAGAACTAATAAAAATCGCTGCTATAATTAAAATACAAAGAAGAGCCCTTTGCGACCTTTGCTTTTCCAAACCAGTCACAATCTGCGAAAAGTCCTGCTATGAAAGGTCTATCCTCTCTTTTCGTTAGAGGCTCTTTCATCACTTAAGTGTGTTCCTGTTTTCAAAGACCAATTCCGATATATTAAAATTCATACTTGGCTGCGAGGCTTGGGGGAATAAACCAAAAGAAATCATATTGAGGCTCAAGTAATGAATAATACATTTCTTTTGTTTTATTTCCCGAGCCTCGGAGCCAAGTAGGAATTTTAACATATCGAAAATGGTCTATCTACTTCCCTTACAACGCTGTTCAGTACTAAGACAGGGAACATTTCCTAAGGTGAGACCAACTTTTGTTTTAACCAGCACATTCTCCTATTTGAAACCTCCCCAGAGTGGATGCCTGTCAAAGCCATGAAACGTGCTTTTGAGCTCGGTATCCCACGACTGCTTCCCCTCCGGGAAAAGAGCACCGAGCGTGAAGGTGATTTGAACAAGGAACTAAACGCTTCAACAATATATTGACTTTATTTTGAAGGTGGTGGTTTTGCAAACCTGGTACAACTTTCAGAGGCCAGGTCTGAAAATAGGTGTGCAAAGTCGCATGTTTTGATCTGAAACAGGCCCGGATCTAGAGAATCAGGTGGCCGATACTCCCGTAAGGCATTCCTACGGGTACCGCGGGAGGTCCGGCCCGAGCTAGAGGAGATATTTGATTCAGCATTTTTAGTAGGAAATTAGTCAATTAAAAAAAATACAGAATTTACTCTGAGGTTTTAAAACTTGTGTTCAATAGGGAGACAAAAACCCATCCAGAAAGTTTCGGACACTGAGGTAACGTGATTCATGGAGATGTCAAAAAATTGAGGACTACGTTCTGAGGTATACATCCAGAAAAAAAAACTTGTTACCGAAACTTTAACAACACTATCTACAGAAATCCTGGCTCTAGACAAACCAGTGGTACCATGACAACTCCGGATAAAAGCCGAACTCAGGGGAGTCCAGAACGTTTTTATTAGAACTTTCTGGACCCCGAACTACCATCCGCATTGGATAATGGAATGTGCGCACCATGTCCGAAACATTCCGAACTACAACTAGGACCTGCTCTGTACGAGCGAGTGTAGATGGACTGGGCCTGGAAGTAAGGTGACAAGCGAAGGCTCGCAGCCAAAACTCAGATAGAGTGGGAACCCATTAGCGATAGACTACTGAGAGCAATGTTTGCCTCAAGATACTTCAATTTGACCATCATGCAGTGTTATGCCCCTTCCAAAGAGGACAAAGATGGCTTTTAAGAGCATCAGCCACGTGCAGCTTCCAACGTCCTTCAGCATGACATGCTACTGATTACCGCGGATTCGAAAGCTAAAATTTAAGGTGACAACACCGGCGGAGAGAGAAGATGCAATGGGTCAGCAGGGTCGCGGAACCATCAACGACAATGGAGAAGGGCTTGTTGAATTTTGTCTCAAAAACAGCTGGAAATGGGTGGTAGGTCTCTGTGGTTTCCCGACAGAGACATCCACAAACTGATTGAGTTGGAGATCCCCAAATGGAAACACTGTCAGTCAGATTGACCGGTTCATCGTCAATAAGGCCGGACAGACCATTATTTTTCTGGAGGGGGGAGGGGATGAGAAATATGGGGGGAAAAGGTTGCAGGTTCTGAAAAGACAAAATAAATTGTTTGCTAGCACGATATGCGTAAAAAAATGTTTGCAGAGAAGTCAGATAAGCTATTAAAAATTTTAGTCTCAAAACTGAAATAAAAGCTGAAAGTACTAAATTGAGGCATGGACAAAAATATATCGAGCTGGGTACTTCATAGTGGTCATTAAACATTGAAATCAATAATAAATTAGAAAAAAGCTGATTCTTTTATGAGAAAACGGGAGTTAATTGTGGCTTTTAAATATCAACATTATTTGTTACCAATTTGCCCTATTAAACTTCACAGAGTTTTCTCAAAACTTTATTAAACAAATTCATCAAACACAGCTATACTCATCACTACTATTCACACATTTCAGAAACCAGTCACATGAACAAACACTGAAAATTGCTGAGAAAAGTCCACATGTGTATGTGTGTCTAACATATTCTGTGGTGTTCATGAAATAATCATCCGTAAAAAGCAAACTTCGTAAAATGATCGGAGACCACCAGCAACCACTCATGGCGAGAGATAGATCTTGGTGTGGGACGTACGATGTCTATTGCGACCCTTTTTAGGGGATGCCCTGTCTATAAGGGGTGCCTTTGGCAGCTTGCATGGGTCGTTGACTGCAGCACATGGAACACACCTTCTAACATGTATTCCGACATCTTCCCGCATGCCACGCCAATAAAATCTCCTCCGCACTTTTTCTAGAGTCTTCTAGACACGATGGTGGCCTGGTGAAGGATCCTTGTGCAAGGCGCCCAACACTTTGACACGACACTCTCGGGCAAGCAGATTTGATGATAAATCTCTTCGCCTGTCACTTCGTGTTGCCAACGTCTAAACACCAGACCGTCCCTGAGAAACAGCCTTCCCCATGGTGACCAATATGATAACAGTTTGCGTCACCCCTCCTTCCACATCGCCTCCAGCGGGTCTGACACCAATTTCAAGCCACCTCACAACTTGTGACAGGGCAGGATTTTGGTTTTGGGTTGCACGTATACTTTCTCTCGACAAGGGTTCCATATTCACAGACTGAATCAGGGTGGCGTCCCTCTCTACCTTAACCGATGAACCCTCGTCCAGGGAAAGGCTGGACAGTCCATCTGCATTGCCGTGCAACTGACCTGGACGATGTTCCACCTAGAAATCAAATTCACTAAGCCTTTCAAGCAACCAAGCTACCTGGCCTCTAGTGTTTTAAAAGTTCCGTAGCCACTGCAGAGCACTATGGTCAGTCGTGACCAGAAAACGTCGCCCGTAGAGGAATGTCTCGAAGTGCTCTGTTCCCCACACGAGGGCCAATAGTTCCTTCCGGGTGGTACTATAGTTCCTTTCAGCCCTTGATAGAGAACGCACTGGGTATGCTATTACACGTTCTCCCACATTGAACCTGAGACAACACCACCCTCAGCCCACTGTCTCTGGCATCACTGTCCATGATGAACGGTACGTCTAGCTGGGGCAGGTGCATTCGTAAGGCCAAAACGTAGTTTGCGGAATTGGTAAAGGCCATCCGGAGTTACGAACGCCGTCTTTTCCCGATCTTCCTCTTCCACATCAATTTGCCAATATCCCCTAAAGAAGTCGAGATGAGAAAACCAATGTGCCCCAGGTAAACTCTGTAATATGTCATCACTCCGAGGAAGCGGGTACAAGTCCGGCTTGGTTACCGAGTTAACAGCGCCGTAATCAACACAGAAACGTTGACTGCCATCAGGTTTTGCTACTAAAACCACAGGAGAGGACCAAAGGGAATCGGACGGTTCTATAATCTCTGCTTCGAGCATTTCATCCAATTCGCTGCGCATTTCCGGCCTTTTGTGAGAGGGAACTTTTCGCAGCAGTACCTGGATTGGCTTGGCAGAGCCTATGTCGATGGTGTGTCGTACGCCCATTGCAGTACCTAAATCCCACGGCCCCTTTGTAAGGCAGTCAGCATAAGTGGACAACACCTCATAATGCCTAAGTTTTTCCTTTTCCGGGACCAAATCGCTGCTGATAGGGAACATCTCTTCTACTAATAAACTGTGGACGTCAGTGTCCCTCACAAAAACCGCACTACATTGTTTAGCTTTCAATCCAACCACAACATCTTCCTTTGAGGCCGCAGGGGGTACCACCTTGTAGCCCACACCCACATTGGTTTCCTCCTGTAATTCCTCCTCGCCAGCTAATGGGTAGAGGTCTGTTACACCTGTAAATCTTGAGGGGCTTGTTAAAGTAACTGAACACACGAACTGGGATTCGACCTCCTTTCACAGTCACTGCCGTCCGCGAGGCACCAGCAGAATATCTTTCTGAAAACTTGTCCACTGGTTCCAGTACACCCATACAATCGTCCAAGTGACCTACCCCGTGGACCCCACAAGGTCTGCGACCATATTGGAGATAATGTGACGGTTTCCGCGACAGTGATCCTGTGAACT